AAAGAAAGAAAGAAAGAAAGAAAAGGGGTTGAGGATATTTAGCTCAGTACCTGCGCCTGCCTCACAAGTGCAAGGTCCTGAGTTTGATCCCTGGTACCAAAAAGACAAAAAAAAGAAGAAAGAAAAGGGAAAAAAAAATTTTTTTTAAAGCACAGGGAAAATGTGTGTTGGGTCTGCTATGTTTTTTGAAGTAAAGAGTCTTTTTGCAGTCAATCAATAAAATAATTTTTATTCTAAAGTAATATTTATGTTCAGAGTTTTTACTTTTGCAGTGTATCCTAGCCAAAAAACTTATTATTTCAGAAATGTGGGCTTTTGCAGAGGTAATTTCAGACAATGCTTTCAAATTTATTGCTTCCACATTACATGGTCTAGGAGAATCTTATTTCTAAATCTAACTCTTGGGTTTTTTTAAATCAAAGGGCAAGGCCTATTGAATCCTTGATTTTGGATAAGGTTTCCACCAGTTTGCCTTTTCTCTCTCTCTCTTTTTTTTTATTTATTGGAATATATTTGTGATACATACATATATTCATGCCGGATAATTGGTACATACATATATTGTGTCTTAATCATTTTTACTTCCTGTTCGCCTCATTCTCTCCTCCCAGATTTTCTTTTATTTTATATCTAAATTTCCTTTCTTCTCTATCTCTTCTTCCTTCTCTCCTTCTTTCTACCTAAAAATATTTTCTTTTCTCAATGAATGAATTTGAAATTTTACTATAGTTTATTTCTTATTTGGCAGTTTTAACTTTATAAATCTAAATGTGACTTCTTGATCACATTCATGCCTGATATTTGTATGTTACATTGCATTTTCATGTTTTCACACAAACACCCATATTTTCCACATTGAATATCACCTCACAATCAGCCAAGGGAATTGCTCCAATAAGTGACACTGGAATGACCTTAGATTACTGGTGGCTACCCAGTCTGCTACTGTGATAACCTGAGAGTCTTGTTACCTTTCCAGTACCATTTAAAAATTGTTACTAGGGTTTGAAAGAGTGGCTAAGAGTAAAAGTTTTGGTACAAAATGTTTTATAAGTAATATAAGTGGCACACACATATGACTTTAATATATTGATTGCTTTAATCTATATGACTTTTTTCCATCTTTTTTTCCTCTCTCACAGACATCAGAGAAGAAAGGAAAAGAAGCAAAATATGGTTTTGGTGGGCCTGTTGTTAGTTCTCTATATCATGAAGAAACAATCAGGTAATTTTTCTTCTGATTTTTGATAATACATATGTAAAAATATGTGTGTGTTTTAAATCTTGAATCTTCAGTTTGTGTAGCACTTTTATTAACATGAAACTGATTTGATGTTATTTTTTTTTTGTTTCTTTTGGAGGAATTGAGGATTGAACTCAGGGCCTTGTACTAGCGAGTCAGGCACGGCACCACTGAGCTAAATCCCCAGCCCTTGATGTTATCTTTAGTAAGATAACGAATACTAGGAAAGAGTTTTGTAAGTGTATAATCTTCAAAATCAATGAATATCTGAACCAGTGCCAAAGCATCTAAACGAGTGAAAATATAATCACTTATCACTTATTATTAGAGTCAGAATTAGAGCCTTTCCCTCATATAAGTAGTTGGTAGAGCAGAGTTTTGTGTCTCAATCTAAAGCTATGAATTTTTGTTGTTAATTTTTCTCAAAATATCACTTTCTTTTAAAGGATTTAATTTTAATAATTTATGTACCCTAATTAAAAGTCATTTAAGTTGAGGGGCTGAGAATATAACTCAGTGGTAGAACACTTGCTACCTTGTATGTGGTAGGCAATTTAATTTACTACATAGAAAAAGTAAAACAACAAAAACTCATTTAATTTAATTTAATTACTTCTAAATTAAAATTCATTTCAAAGTTTTAAAAGGAAAACAGTGTAGCTGGGCATGGTGGCACACCCCTGTAATCCCAGCACTTGGGAGGCTGAGGCAGGAGGATCGCTGTGAGTTCGAGACCAGCCTGAGCTACATAGTGAGTTCCAGGTCAGTCTCACTACATAGTGAGACCCTGTCTCAAAAAACCAAAAAACAAAAAACAAAAAACAAAAAACAAAAACAAAAAAAAAAGCAGTGTTGATGTTTCCTCAAAAGGTAAAAAGTAGAATTACCATCTGATCCAGCAGTTCCACTTCTCGGGCTATATTCAGGGGAACTGACAGCAGGAACTCCAAGACTAACTTGCACACCCATGTTCATAGTAGCACTAATTATAGTAATTAAAAGAAGGAAGCAACCAAACTTTTCTTTGACTGTTGACTAGATAAAATATTATATATATGTATATATACATGCATATATATACATATATATATATAGCAGAATATTATCCAACCTTCAGAAAATTTTGACACATGCTATACAATATGAGCCTTGAGGACATTATGCTAAGTGAAATAAGCTAGTCACAAAAAGATGAATAGCATATAGTAATATTTAAATGAGGTATTTAAAGTATTAAAATTCATAAAACTGAAAAGTAGAATAGTTGCCAGGAGGTAGAGGGAGGAGGAGTAGAGAGTTGTTTAATGAAGCAGTTTTAGTTTTTCAAGGTGAAAAAATTCTGGAAATAAGTGTACAACATGAATATACTTCATATTACTCAACTGTATACTTAAAATGGTTAAGGTGGGTAAACTTCGTTATGTTATTTTTTAACCATAATTTTAAAAAATTAAAGATAATTTATATTATTTAACAAAGCTTTTTTTTGTGCTATGTACAGAGTTTCTTTAATAATCCTTTTCTCTTAGCACTGTGTGTATGTAAACCAGAAAAGGATTGTGTGCTACTTTAAGGAGTCATGTGACACGTTCTTCTAAGATTGGTATTCTATGAACTACGAGTCTTTAGTGATTTTATTCTTTTTTGTTTTGCTTATTAATCAGTACGAAATAAATATTTCAAGGTAAAAATTGACTTCATATAAATTAATTGAAGAAAAATACCTTTTCATAGAATGAAGAGGGAACTGTACCAAAAATTTATGCTTTACTTCTCCAGAAAATAATTCATTGACAATATCCCACATAGAGTATTGATGTGCACTTCTAGGTACAGTTTTAAAAGAGAAGTTACTATTGCTTCTGTAAATCAAAAACTTGAATCATGCATAGTTTCTGTTTGTTGGCCAGGCAGGTAATGCTAGGGGAACTGTCTTGAATCTTATTTGCATAGCAAGCACACTATTTTACTTAAATACATGTTTTTTTGGGGGGGTATGAGATAGGGGAAACTGATATATATTTGAGGAAATAAAGGTATTGTTTAGGGTTCCTACTGTCACCCTGTTTTTGTGATAGACCTGAGAACCCTAAGAAATCGTAGTTTGAAAAGCATTTTCAAAATTTAACTCTTCCTTCAGTTTATGCCATGTTGAATATTTGGGTTGCTAGCAAGTATATTCTGTCTTTAGCATCCTCTAACATGTGGGATCTTACAACCATATATCTACCAACCAAGGTTTATTAAGTGTTAAAATCAAATCAAGATATCTGAAGAGTCATTTTTCTAGGCAGTAGGAAAGAAGATAGTCACGTCTTCTGTTTTCCTGTAGTCTTCCCCCTACCCCCAGGGACTGGGGACTGAACTTAGGACCTTGTGTTTGCCAGGCAGGTGCAGCCCCACTGAGCTACATCCTTGGCCCTTGTAGTTTTTTGTTTACAATTTTGTTACACCATTTATCACATTATTGCACTTTGATTATAATTTTTAAATAATTTATCCTTTCCACTAAGCTTTTAATTAATGATAGAAAAGATTGTTTTACTCATTTCTGTAATCTCACTATCTGAGGAAGGTTTCAGAATTTAGTAGATGTCAAATAAAAGTCCCTTGAACTTGGGTGAGATATTGACAGCTACTTTTTTTCCAGGAACTAACAGTTAAGTGACTATTGCTTATGTAGAATAAGCCTCAAGGCCTATCATAAAACAAAGGTTGCTGGTTTGGTTTTCCTGTGATAGACAGTCCTCACCTGTTTCCCTAAGCCATAAAAAAAGTTATAGGCTATTTCTCTTTATCAGAAGTTTATTGACTGCTTAAAAAAAAAAAAAAAAAAAAAAAAAGAATACCATTCTTTTTTTTTTTTTGTACCGGGAATGGAATTCCAATCCTTGCACTTGCGAGGCAGGCAGCGGAACCACTGAGCTAAATCCCTGGCTTAATTTTCTCAGTATCAGTGACTTGTTGTAAATAATACTGATCTTTATTTTATGCTAATTTTCTTAAGAGCTTACAGACTAGTGTTTTCCAGATGAGATGCTGGGTAGTTTCTTTTGAAATGTCCATTGACATGACTGATCACAGTAGCTCTACAGAACATGAAGCAAATCAAATGTACTCTAGCTAAAGAGAGAGCAGAAATCTGGATAAGAGTATTTCTGAGATAAAGTTGAACTGTATTGAAAAGGCTAATCTTCTCCCTCACTCACTTTCTAAAGAAGTGACTGTTAGATTTAATTCAATATTTAGATTCAATGGTTAGAATTTTAATAATGAAAAACAATGATAAAGAATACCAAAAAAGAATACTACAGCTTGTTTTCATAATGTAGAGGTTAAATTCAGCTCAACACACATTTATTAATGAATCTATCATGAGACAACAACTTGTAAATATTTGTGCTTTTCACTTTGAATAGTATGTGTGTTAGTTACTTTTCTTGTTGCTGAGACAAAATACCCAACATCCAAAGTTAAAGGGAGAAGGGGTTTATTTAGCTTACAGTTCATAGAGCTTTCTGTCCATAATCATCTAGCTCCAAGGCAGGGTGGCAGAGTAGCAATAGTTCATCGTGGCAGTGGAAGAGAGCAAAAGCAAGGAGAGGAGTTAACAGCGTCTTCCTGCCCCTTTCATCTTACTCAGACTATGTAGGGTGGGTAGCACTCAGGCCCTTGATCCCAGTGCCTTCCCCACCATGAATCAATCACACACTGTAGATTCACCCATCTCTGGAAAAGCATGAGGCTTTGGGGGGACATTTAAACACAAGCCATTACAGTATGTTTGTAACACTTTTGGCATTTTCATGTTTTAATAAAAATTAATTGAGTGAAATACGAACTTTTGGTATGGGAAAAATAGATTTGACCTTATTTCATTGAATCAACTAAGTACTAGTTATGATATCTTCCTAATTTTCATATTTTGGAACATGCTATTAAGAAACATGAATGTGAGAGATCCATCAAAAGCCTTCTACTTGTATCCTAACAGATCATAATGGAATGAGACTGGAAATCGAAAGCAAAAGAAATCACAAAAACTATAAAAACACATGGAAATTAACTGAAATGATCATTTCATTGAAAGAATGAGGAAGAAATCAGGGAAGAAATTTTAAAATTCCTAGAATCAAATGACAGCAACAGTACAACATCTCAGAATCTGTGGTACACAATGAAAGCAATTCTTCTAAGAGGGAACTTTATAGCTGTGAATGCCTACATTAGAAAAATAGAGCAATCCCAAATAAATAACCTAATGATCCTTCTCAAGGTCCTAGAAAAACAAATGCTATCCAAACCCCAAATTAATGAAAAAAAATTATAATGATCAAAGCAGAAATCAATGAAATTGAAACTAAAAAAACAATATGAAGGATCAGCAAATTAGAGTTGGTTCTCTGAGAGGATAAATACAATTGGTAAGCCCTTAGCCAAACTTACCAAAAGAAAGAGAAGATCTAATATCAATATAATTAGAAATAAAATAAGTAAAATTACAACAGACCCCAATGGAATCCAGAGGATTAGAAACTATTTGAGAACTTACATTTCAATAAATAGAGGAATCTAGACGAAATGAAGAAATTCATAGACACATATGACTTACCAGATTGAAACAAAATATAAAAACCCTAAATAGACCAATAATAAGAAATGAAATTGATACAGCAATGAAAATTGTGCCAACTAAAACAAGCCTAGGATCCAGTGGATTCACTGCTGAATTTTACCAGAACTTTAGATAAGTAATGCCAATACCCAGACTTTTGCATGTGAAAGGGAAGAAACACTTCCAAACTCAAGTCTGTAAAGCCAGCATTCCCCTGGTGTCAAAACTAAATAAAGACTCAACAAAAAAAAAATCAAACTATAGGCCAATATATTTGATGAACATTTATGCAGAAATCCTCAGTAAGATACTTGCAAACAGAATTCAGTAACTCATTAAAAAGATCATACATCATGACCAAATTGGC